CACACACACACACACACACACACACACACAAACAAAAAAACTAACTTCAGCTCCCCCCTTTTTTTTTTCGGGGGCCCAACGCGGCCTCAAACTGTATTTTTATTTTTTTGTGGTTCTTGACGCGACATCCCACTCGGGCCTAAAACACCCCTCCCGAACTTTTTTTTTTTCCTAGACCCCTTATTTTCGGGGTGTGCCGCACCCAGTGTGTGCGCGCCGTGCGCGGTGCAGCGCATGTCGATGCGCCACATGTATGGTTTTAAGTACATGTTAAGCGGCATTTCATCTCCACGTCACACCGACAGGAAAAAAAAAAAAAAAAAAAAACAAGAATACTGTGTAGATCGTTGTACTAAACGCCACCTACACTTTGTGACGGACGCCAGGCCAGATCCTGGCCTTTCAAAATATACAAAGCTAATTCGGGCGATGCGTCCCGTCCCCTTAAAAAATACAGGGATCGTTTTTTCTTGTCTTCAACCACCAATATACCTTTCACTGTTCCACAGGCAAACACAAAGTCCATCCAGAAGCCTACTCCTAAAAAGTCGGGCTCGGGGCATCCTTTTTGGCTGCTGCCGCGGCTCGGCAAAAGTCGGTGCACAGTGAAAAAATCAGCCTCGGCCCAAAACAGGATCGGAGGTAGTGGTGGTAAAAAAAAAGAAAAAAAAAACACTTTGCCTACTCACACACACACACACACACACACACGCACACACGCACACACGCACACACGTACCTTGTTCGACCTGATCGGGGCGCAACCGCCAGATGAGGGGGTCTTTCTCAAGTCGAAGATCCAGGTCTCTAAATTGCAGATATTCACGTCGCGTTTGCGCAGACAGCAAATCGAATAGCTGATCGACCTCGGACTTCTGCTCGACTTCTTCCGGTGGAGGATTATATCTCCGCGCCCATTCCTTGTAATAGGCAATCATGCCCTTCCTCTCTCTGTCGGCTTCCTCCTTAATGAGCCTTCAGAATGCAGACGTAATTTCATGGCAGATTCATTGTATCAACAACACAACAACGCCACGACAAAAGCACATCCATCGTCATAGTCCAATCGATAAATTATAAATGTGATGACTTTTTAAAAACGTTTTTGAAGGTTTTTCGGAACTTTTCCCTTTTTTTTGTGTGTGTGTGTTTTCTGTTTCTTTTTTTTTCATGATTACCAACCGGATGTCCAGATCCCGATCCAGACAGTCCGGTGTCCGGTGTCCGGGTCCGGTGTCCGGTTCAGAGGGTCCTGTTGGACCTCAATTTCAAAAAAAAAAATAAAAAAAATTGGCGTCTCCAGGTCGTTTACCTGGGCCTGGGGTACCCCGGAAAAATAATGCTGATGTTTTTTGAGAACCGGTACCCCAACCGGACATGCCCTGAAAGGGCCCTGTGTGTGATAACATTGACACACAAGTTCACTGCTTTGCTCTTATTTGGATGGAATCTTGGTGCATTTGAGCTCTCTGCTTGGTACACGAGTATCTGGATGACTTCGTGATTTAGCAACTTGGTTTTCTGTCTATCGCTCTCGCTCATATTCCTTGCATTTTTGTGACGTGGGAGGAGGGTCTGGCCGATGGGAGGGGCGAGCAGGGATGGGAGGGCGATGGCGCCAGACAAAGATGAGCGACATTCGTTACTGTGTTGGTGGGGCCTGAGGGCGATGACATTGGCACACGAGTTCACTGCTTTGCTCTTATTTGGATTGAATCTTGGTGCATTTGAGCTCTCTGCTTGGTTGTCT